TTTCATATGTTTGCTGGCTGCATAAATATCTTCTTTTGAAAAGTGTCTGTTCATATCCTTTGCCCACTTTTTTTATTTTTATTTTCTTGTAAATTTTGTTTAAGTTCTCCTTAGATTCTGGATACTAGCCCTTTGTCTGCTGGGTAGATTGCAAAATTTTTTCCCCATTCTGTTGGTTGCCAGTTCACACAAATGATGTTTCCTTTGCTGTGCAGAAACTCCTAAGTTTAATTATATCCCATTTGTCTATTTTGGCTTTTGTTGCCATTGCTTTTGGTGTTTTAGTCATGAAGTCCTTGCCCATGCCTATGTCCTGGATGGTATTGCCTAGGTTTCTAGGGTTTTTATGGTGTTAGGCCTCATGTTTAAATCTTTAATCCATCTAGAGATAATTTTTGTATAAGGTATAAGGAAGAAATCCAGTTTCAGCTTTCTGCATATGACTAGCCAGTTTTCCCAACACCATTTATTAAATAGGGAATCCCTTCCCCATTGCTTGATTTTGTCAGGTTTGTCAAAGATCAGATGGTTGTAGTTGTGTGGTGTTCCTTCTGAGGTCTCTGTTCTGTTCCATTGGTCTGTATCTCTGTTTTGGTACCAGTACCATGCTGTTTTGATTTTAGTAGCTTTGTAATATAGTTTGAAGTCAGGTAGCATGATGACTCCAGCTTTGTTGTTTTTTTTTTTTTTTTTTTTGTTGTTGTTGTTTTTTTTTTTTTTTGCTTAGGATTGTCTTGGCTATGTAGGCTCTTTTTTCATTCCATATGATGTTTAAGGTTGCTTTTTCCAATTCTGTGAAGAAAGTCATTGGTAGCTTGATGGGGGTAGCATTGAATCTGTAAATTACTTTGGGCAGTATGGCCATTTTCACAATATTGATTCTTCCCAACCTTGAGCATGGAATGTTTTTCCATCTGTTTGTGTCCTCTCTTACTTCCTTGAGCAGTGGTTTGTAGTTCTCCTTGAAGAGGTCCTTCACATCCCTTGTAAGTTATATTCCTAGGTATTTTATTCTCTTTGTAGCAATTGTGAATGGGGTTTCACCCATTATTTGGCTCTCTGTTTATCTATTATTGGTGTATAGGAATGCTTGTGAATTTTGCACATTGATTTTGTATCCCGAGACTTTGCTGAAGTTGCTTATCAGCTTAAGGAGATTTTGGACTGAGACGATGGGGTCTTCTAAATATACAATAATGGCATCTGCAAACAGGGACAATTTGACGTCCTTTCTTTCTATTCGAATATGCTTTATTTCTTTCTCTTGCTTCATGGCCCTGGCCAGAACATCCAATACTATGTTGAATAGGAGTGGCGAGAGAAGGCATCCTTGTCTTGTGCCAGTTTTCAAAGGGAATGCTTCCAGCTGTTGCCCATTCAGTGTGATATTGGCTGTGAGTTTGTCATATATAGCTCTTATTATTTTGAAATACAATCCATCGATACCTAGTTTATTGAGAGTTTTTAGCATAAAGGGCTGCTGAATTTTGTCAAAGGCCTTCTCTGCATCAATTGAGATAATCGTGATTTTTGTCTTTGGTTCTGTTTATGTGGTGAATTATGTTTATTGACTTGCGTAGGTTGAACCAGCCTTGCATCCCCGGGATGAAGCCTACTTGATCACGATGGATAAGCTTTTTGATGTGCTGTTGGACTCGGTTTGCCAATATTTTATTGAAGATTTTTGCATCAATGTTCATCATGGATATTGATCTGAAATTTTCTTTTTTAGTTGCATCTCTGCCAGATTTTGGTATCAGCCTGGATAAAGAAAATATGGCACATATACACCATGGAATACTACGCAGCCATAAAAAATGATGAGTTCATGTCTTTTGCAGGGACAGGGATGAAACTAGCAACCATCATTCTCAGCAAACTGACACAAGAACAGAAAACCAAGCATGTTCTCACTCATAAGTGAGTGTTGAACAATGAGAACACACGGACACTGGGAGGGGAACATCACACACTGGGGCCTGTAGGGTGGGGGGGCTAGGGGAGGGATAGCAGGGGGTTGGGGGATCGGGAAGGGATAGCATTAGGAGAAATACCTAATGTAGATGACTGGGCGATGGATGCAGCAGACCACCACCATGGCACATGTATATCTATGTAACAAACCTGTATGATCTGCACATGGACCCCAGAACTTAAAGTATACTAAATAAATAAATAGAAAAAGAAACTGAGCTGCTTGTACTGTAGAGCTTCTTATGTTCTTTCTGTATTCTGGAATGTGTTACTTGCATCCCCATGTCTTCAATGCCTTCTTCTATCTCGTGTATTTCTTGTAAAGTGGAAGTTGGATCCAAAGGCTTATTCAGGTTCAAGGTTATAGTAAGAGTACCTTATAGACAATGTTGTGTACTTCCCTTTGCACCTTCAGGAGGCGTATGTTGTGTGGTTTTCTCTCTTTTTTTGTGTGGTATTGAGATTGATCAGTGGATATGAGCATGATCAGCCTGAATCATTCATCATAAAGTTCATGAAATGGTTTTGACTATGGGTATTTCATTAGGGTTTGCAAATTACCAATATTCCACTTTTATCATCACTTTTCTATTTACTGGCTGGGATTCCTTCATAATTAAAAACTTTCACTCATCAAGCATTTGGTCACTCTTAGGTAAAACATGGGCAGGGAAAACTATACATGTTTGCATTTTTCACTTTACCAGTTTTCAAAATGAGTTGGTTCCCTAGCATTCTTCAAAAGTGGCCACCAATGTTGTACTGTTTGCTTTTAGTGTAATTACAAATGCATAAATTTTAATACATTTAATGTGTTTTAATTCAATTATAGTTACTCTTTATTTTGACATTCAAATTATTTCATCTTTGGCAAGTGTAACTGCCTGCAAGTTGATTACTAAATTCTCTTAACCCCAGTAACCTTGAATAACTTCCTTGCTTTCTATAAAAATAAAATATTCTAGAGTCTAGACCCATATTGGACATTTTTTGAGCCTGATCTGGAATCAATTATTTCCAAAATCATCCAGTCTTGTTTTACTGGTAAATAATATTTAGAGATCATACCCTGGTTAGAAGTGGTCAGTGTTACTGGACTGGTCATCCTTCCTTGGCACTTCCAATAGACAGAAGTAGATAATGTATTTAAATGATTTTATTTAAATACATCCAATCCAAATTTATGATTTAGTAGTGTTATCATCTTTCATTTTATATTTAATCTTATTTCTCTTATGCTGAAAATATTGTTTCCTAAATATACTAGCTTTGCAATGACAAATGCAATGCCATTACTTTTGAAATGACTGCTAAGAATAGAATTAAAATTTCCTTGTAATTCCTTTTGACCATAGGATATAGTCCAACTGCAGATGTACTGTCAAATTAGAATGTTTTATTGTCACTTGAAATAGTCTTTTATGAGATTAAGCTAACAACTTGTTATATAGCAAGGCTCACTTGTTAATTTTGTTTTTTTTAGGGACTAATTTTTTTATTTTAATTTTGCTTCATAATTAATTTAAATGTGTATATGCCTTTCCAAAGACAAATTTATTAAATAAGGTATATTCAGAAAAATATTGGCTCCATCCTTTCCCCTCTACTTTGTTCCTGTTGTCCACCACAGGTGATCATTTAAAAATAATTTTTGGTTTGTCATCTCATTGAAAAAAACATGAAAATTTTTACTTTGTACTTTTTAAATAAAAGGTAGCACACTATGTATGCTATTTGCCCCTTGTTTTTTTCCACTTATCACTACATTCTGGAGGTCATTCCACAGCAGTATTTAGAGGTATGCCTCATTGTTTATAGCTTTAAAAGCTTCCATTTTGTAGATTTACTCTAGGTAATTTAAATAGTCCCATATTGATGGACATTTAGGTTGTTTTCAGTCATTTCTTATTATAATAACACTGCAATACATAGCCTTTGGCATTTGCATTTTTGCCAAAGTATCCCAGAAGTGACATTTTAGAAGTTGAATTATCTTCCATCAAATTTTTACCATATTTATTCCAATCTTTAACATACAAGCGTGCCTACTTTCCCTTAGCCTGGCTAAGAGACTGTGCTGTCACACTCTCAAATTTTTGCCAATCCAAAGATGAGAATTATATGTCATCGTATCTTTAATTTGCATTTCCTATTATGAATGCGATTGAGCACCTTTTTTGAGTTGTTTGCATTTTTTTCCAATAAACTCTAGAATTGGTGGTAATTGTATTTATTTTTAGAAGTTCGTTGAATGTGGGGAATCTTTTGTGATATCACTTGGTGATATAAATATTTCATTTTACTATGATTGAGTTTTTTGCTTTGCTATTTTGGTGTTTTCACCATACAAAAGAGTAAAAAAAAAAAACATTATGCTTTTCCTTTGTTACCTGTAGATATTGAATTTTTTAAAGCTTTTCTCATTCTAGGTAACAATAATATGTTCTCTTCCAGAACTTATATAATTTATAGTTACATTAAAATCCTTGATTGATTTTAAGTTAATCCCGGCATGTGGTATAAGAAATGGATCAAATTTTATTCTTTTTCATAGAGCTATTCAGTCATCCTAATACTCCCTGATATAATGTCTGTTCTTCCTCACAGATTCGAGATCTCACCTCTAACATATACTAAATTTTTACATGCAACTGAATTTATTTCTCAATTTTCTCCGTTGTTCTGTTTGTTGATCAATGTGCTAATACCATGTTCTTTTAATGTCAGTATTACATGTTTCAGTATTTAGTAGAGTTAGATCTTCCTCATTGTTCTTTTTTATTGTTTTCCGTTACTATTATTGCTTGTTTGTCCTTTCAAATAAAATTTATAATTAATGTGTCTAGATGCAGAAAAATTAACTTACCATTTTAAAAATTGGGTTTACATTAAGTTTATAGATTAACCTAGAAAGAATTCACATCTTTATGAGGTTGAATTTTTCTATCCAAGTAGATGTTCTATCTTTTTATTTGTCCAATTATCCTTGTGTATCTTCAATAGTGTTAAAATTTTCATCTCATAGGTCTTATTATTCTGGTTTGGTTTTGCTGAGCTTCTGAAATCTCTGGCTTGTGTTTCCCACCACTTCAGAAAACTCTTGACTATTGTCCCTTAAAATATGACTTTTCCCATTCTCCTCTTTCCCTTCTGGAATTCTGACTATGTGAACATCAGGCTGTTTAGTAATGTCCCACATGCTTTTAAACTCCTTTTTGTTTTCCACTATTTTGTTTTTCCATGTTTCAATTTGAATTTTTTTATTGACCTGTCCTTGAGTACCTCCTCCCCTCTCCTACACAATGAGTGTGCCATTACACTCATTCATTGAGTACATAATTCCAGTTACTATATTTTTTTTTTTTTTTGGCTTTTCAGTTCAAGAATATTCATTTCGAAAGACTTAATTTTCTGTGAAATCATTTATTTTTGAAATCTACTTTCACCTAATTCATATGATTAGTAATTAATCATGTTAATCATAGCTGTAAAGTCTTTGTCTATTAATTTCAATATCTGGATCAACTGTGAGACTTTCTGCTGTCAGTTTTTTCCTCAGGTTTTCATCACATGGCTCCGCATAATAATTCCATTTAAATGTGGGACATGGCTAATAACACTTTTTAGAACTTCCAGATGATGCTAATCTTCCTCCAGAGAGATTTCATTCTTCCCTCTGCTTGGCAGATAGAATGTCTTATTCCAAGTATGCACTGAGATCATTAGAAGCTGAGTTGAAGCTTTAAGGAGACTCTGTTTATCCCTGGTTACCTTCTTCCTAAGGAATAGCCATATATTGGTTTTCTGGTGCTCCAATAAGAAATTATTGCAAACTTAGTAGCTTAAAACACAAATTTACTCTAAGCACATCAGAAGTTTGATATCCGTTTCACTGGGCTATGATCAAGCTAGGGCAGGGTTATCTCGTTTTCAGGAGACTGGGGAAGAATAGGTATTTGGTGTTTGTTCTAGTCAAATGCCAGCACAGAATGCCTAGTCACATTTGAATTTCACATGAACAATAAATAATTTTGACATTTTATGTCGTAAATATTGCATGACTTATAAGAAAAATAGTTTATTGTGTATCTGAGATTCAAATTTAACTGGGCCTTGCTATCCTTGTCTTTTCCAGCCTCTAGAGGTTGTCTACATTCCTTGGCTCATGGCCCCTCCTTCCAATTTATAAGAAGTAATAGCATCCTCAAGCCCTCTCTTTCTCCGCCTCTGCAGTAACATTGTCTTTTTCTACTTCTGCTGCTCCCACCTCTTTCAGATAAGGACCCTAGTATTAGATTGGGTCCACCAAGATAATCCAGGATAATCTCCCCATTTTAAAATCCTAATTTAATCACACCTTTAAATTCCTTTTGCCAGGTAAGGCGACATATGATCAGGTGCTGGAGAATAAAGTAAGTGCAGACACCTTTGGGGGTCACTATGTTGCCCCCCACAAGTCCCCCAAGTAAGGTGGCCAGATTTAGTAAATAAAAGCCCAGAATGTCCAGTTAAATCTGAATTTCAAATAAACGACAGATCATTTTTAAATTTTATGTCCTAAATATCGCATGAATTATACTTAGAAATTGCATATTGCCTAAGATTCAGATTTAACTGGGGCTTGTCCTATATTTTCCTTGGCGACACCACTTCCTCCAAAGCCTACCGTGGATCCTGATGTCCTCCCTTTAGAACCTTTCCTTATGGCTGATCCTGAGCTCTAATTCTGGTCTTCTAAGAATGGCAAGATTGCCAAAACCTCAAATATGCTTTTCAGGAACATCTTGCTTGCTTCTTAAACTTTAGGTAGATATCCTGAAGGAAAACTTACTCACGTGCTAAGCTCAGGCTCAGTTCTCTGGCTCGATCTTCTCACCAGCAGCTTAGTCCACTAAGTCGCTAATTCCATGCTTTTGGCCCCACATAACTGCCACAATCTCTGCTGGTTTCTCTTCTCCCCGGCAGTGTTTTTCCGCGCAAAGTGCAGCCTTTCAGCTGCTTTTCCTACACCCCAAACCAGCAACAGTTCCCAGGAAAAAAGCGGCTGAAGACTCTCAGCTCACTGTCCACTGCTCCTTCTCTTAGGAGCGATGAAGCCCCTAGTCCTGGTAGTTTTGGCAGCTGTCTGATGTCATTCAGTAGGGTTTTCATTATCTACTAGGCAGGAATGGTGTTTGGCTGCAAACTCCTTACAGCCCAGATCTTCTGACAGCCAACCCAGGGTTTTTTTTCCCAGAATTGTCACAGCTGTGAGGTGGCTGGTGGGTGACAGGAGCGCAGGTGCAAAGGGTGGAGGTGGCGTGGTGACAGCTGAGTGGAGAAGGTATGGATGGTCACATTTGTAGCTGGCTGGGCCTCAGATCTTGGCAGCAATGTCTGACCTGCGAGGAAGCCCAGCAGGCCCCTCTGAACAGTAGGCAGTTGGCAATGGCTGTTTCCTGCACACCTACCTTTTCTTTTTGGTTACTGTATTGAAACTCAGTCTGAGGCCATCTGAAACTGTGCAAGGGCTGAAGCTTTGTCCTGAGCACAAATTAATGTCATAATTCTTAAACTTTTGCCCACCTTTACTCATGCACCACTCTCAGTAAATTCGCAGTCACTGCGTCTTCACTGATCATGGTGATCTTGCTCCTGGCTGTGAGTCAGACAGGGATATTAGTGGGAACGGGAATCATTATGTATCCAAGGACAAAGGCAGGCGGGCCTCAATCTTGGAGCTTCTTGGTCATTTTTGTGCCACTTACTTTGCACCTGGGGCATAATTTCTTGCTGTCAGGACCAGGCTTCCATCCCTCAGATTTCAAAAGCTATCATTTCTCCCCTCTCCATCAGATGCATCTGCTCAGGGGATCCTGAACTAATTTGCACTGGTGATGGAAGAAAGCAGGCAAATTACTGTAGAGGACTTTAGCTCAATCGGAGCACGTTTCCTCCATTTTAAGCTTTAAAAAGCCCTGAGCTCAAAGCCTGGAGCCTTGACTCACTAAATAGCCTTCTCTGAGGTGAGAAATTCTTGCAGGGTAGGAGGGAGGGGGACTCCTTTTTCCTTATCCTGAAATGTCAAAGTGTCATTTTACCTATTCATAAAGAGATGATCAGAACAATGTCAAATTTTAAATCAATAAGATATTTAAAGGGAAGCAAAGGCACCATATATTTCTCAGGCAAGATGAATATTCTAGGAAACCTTGAGATGATATCACAGGTTAGAAAAAAATTAAATGTTCCTGTAAAACCGATTTCATGCAGAGAAAAAGGAGCTCTTAAGCACTGTTGGGAGGAACGTAAACTAGTACAACCACTATGGCAAACAGTATGAGAAGTCCTCAAAAAACTGCAAATGGAATTACTACTCAGTCCAACAATCCCACTACTGGGAATCTATCCAAAAGAAAGGAAATGATTATGTCGAAGAGATGTCTACACCTCCGTGTTTATTGTTGCACCATTCATAATAACCAAGAAATGAAATCAATGTAGGTGTGCAACGCCAGATGAAAGCATAAAGAAAATGCGGTCTATATACACAAGGAAATACTATTCAGTCATAAAAGGAATGAAATCCTGTCATTGGTGGCATCATGGATGAACCGGAGGACTTTGTGTTAAACGAAATAAGCCAAGAACAGAACATCATGGATGGACCGGAGGACTTTGTGTTCAATGAAGTAAGCCAGGAAGAGAAAATTAAATACTGCATGTTCTCATTTGTATGTGAAAGATTTAAAAAAGGTTGATCTTGTAGAAGTAAAAAGTGGAACAGAGGATACTAGAGGCTGAGAAGAGAAGGGGAAAGGGAAGCAAAGGGGAAAAAAGGACAGCAAGACTCAATGTGGGATGCTGGATGGCATCCCGAAACAGCAAGAGGATATTGTGTAAACATTGAGAAAATCCGAATAAAGTATAGATTTGAGGCTAGGCATGGTGGCTCATGCCTGTAATCTCAGTGCTTTTTGGGAGGCCAAGACAGGTGAATCACTTGAGGTCGGGAGTTCGAGACCAGCCTGGTCAACATGGCAAAATCCTGTTTCTACTAAAAATACAAAAAAAATTAGCTGGCTGTGGTGGCGCATACCTGCAATCCCAGCTGCTTGGGAGGCTGAGGTGAGAGGATAACCTGAGCCTGAGAGGTGGAGGCTGCAGGGACCTGAGATCGCACCACTGCACTCCAGCCTGGGCGACAGAGAAAGACTCTATCTCAAAAATAAAATAAATAAAATAAAAGAAAATGTATAGTTTAGTTAACAAGGTACTAATTTTGGTTCATTAGTGATGACAAATGTATTCTATAGCAATGTAAGATGTTTAATAATGGGAAATTGGGTTGGGTGTGGGTATATGAGAATTATCTTCACAGCTTTTCTATACATCTGAAACTATTCTAAAATAAAAAGTTTATTTTAAAAAGTGATTTCACATGCAAAGAAGGTGTTGAAAAGCAAAGGGAGGTGGGGCAATAAAAGGTTATACTTATGACTATTATAAAACCGAACAGAAATAGTAATAGTGAGCACAGATTTACAGAGCGTGTCAGGAAATCATCTTTATCTAGAAGTAGCACAGCGGAAATGGAGCATTTCAGCTGGGGAGACCAACATCATAGAGCCCAGCAGCACCAACTGGGTTCTCACTCAAGAATAACCCTGAGAAGCTTTCAGGGAAAGAAAATGTATATAATTCACAGCTTTTAAAGAACTAGGGCTAGGAGCCAAAAAATATTCTTAGATTCTCTTCTTTCAGCATCTTAACATTAACTTAATGGAATGAATGATTCTATTCAGCTGTTTGAAATGGGAAGTCTACCTCTAAAAGTAACCATTTTATTGATTTTTTTCTTTTGAGACGGAGTCTCACTCTGTTGCCCAGGCTGGAGTGCAATCATGTGATCTTGGCTCACTGCAACCTTTGCCTCTGGGGTTCAAGTGATTCTCGTGCCTCAGCCTCCTGACTAGCTGGGACTATAGATACGTGCCACCACACCCAGCTAATTTTTCCTATTTTTAGTAGAGACAGGGTTTCATCATGTTGGCCAGGCTGGACTCAAACTCTTGAACTCAAGTGATCTGCCCACCTCAGCCTCCCAAAAGCGTTGGGATTACAGGTGTAAGCCATAATTTTTTTAAATAAGACATTCAATTATTTGCTTTTTTCAACCATTTTTACGAAAAGTTTCAAACGCACACACAAAAGTGCAGGGAACAGTATAATAAGCCCCCACGTGCTCATCACCCAGCATCACTGGTCATCAAGATTCGACAAAGCTTGTTTCAACTATTCCCTCCACCCACTCATTTTTCCCCCTAGAATACTGTGAAACAACTCCCAGATATCAGAGACACTTGATGCATTTTATATGTAAACACATATGAAGCACCTACTTACAATATACTCTTTTAGGAAGTGAGCATACAGAGTCATATAGGGTTGTTGCCAAAAAAGAAGAGCTTAAATGTAAACATGATGACCCCAATTCAGAGCACAAAGTCATAAATGCCATGGCAGAGACACAAATAAAATACTCTAGGAAATCAGAGTAGGGGTGGAGAATTTCGGCTAGGAGGGCCAAGGTGAAATTTTGTGATGAAGGCGGCATCTGACTCAGACTATAAATGATGACTGGAGGGGAAGAGCTGGCCACGTCCTCTTGCCTGTGCCCACCTCTCTTCCTTCAGACATACATGTGGGCAGGGGGCACGGCAGAAGACAGTTGTTTCTTTAAAAAATGAATACACCACCATGAGCCAAATATTATAAGCAACTTTAGCCTAATTTGATGAAAAAGAAAGCAAAGAAGGTGAAGTTTTCTATGAGCTTAACAGAACGGGGACTCAGAAATTAAATGATGATTAAAAAAAAATAAAGATAACTATAGTTCTTGCATCCCTGAGTTTGAGATATTCACCTGCTGTGGGTATTTGAAGATCTTGGAGAGAGAATAGATAATTATAGAATTAAGTTTTGCCTTGGAGGTAGCAAAATGCCAAAATGAAGTGTATGGTGTCAGAGTAAACCCTAGAAATGAGGAGAGCCACTTCTTCAGGATGTCTATGTAGAGCTCTAAGGGAAACCCAAGGATAAGGAACCAGGAAACGTTTGTAATAGTAGTTTGATTTTTCTCAGTGAAGTGGAAGCAAGATAACGTGTCAAGTGTCGGGAATGGGATTTAATTGGAAATGAAGGAATCCACAAGCTATGATGACGTCATGCTCCAGGTTCTGCCCTATATTTCCAGCCAATGAGCAATGAGGTGAGATCACATGGAGATTTCTGACCAATGAAATGTGGGTATAAATGCCTTGTGTTATTTCCATGATGAGCCACTTGAGAGCTGGGGGGGTCATCTTCATCTCTCTCTTCCTGCAACCACAACCCTGGAAGCCGCATGGTGAGAAGGTAAGATCACAAGACGGGGAAGCCCTGAATTCCAAATCATTATATGGAGTGCAGCCCAGGCAGTAAGCATCAAGCATCACATGCCTAAGATATGGACTTGCCTTCTGCTAACCCACTGACATTTTGTAATCTATCTGCTAGCACGGCACAGCATAGGTTATCCTTCCTGGAGCCATACTCTGTGTCCAGCTGAAGGTAGACAGCTTAAATTTGTAGCTAGCCAGGCCTAGGAAGCACCTGTGTTTCCCTCTAATGTGTCTGCCAGATTTCTGCAATTAGATAAAACTCTAAGAATAGCAACCATGTCTCACACCCCCCTCATAGGACCTAACATAGTGTTGAACAAAGATGCATTGAGTGTTAAAATAGATTTGAAGAAAGCCTCAGTGGTTGACCGTTTGGAATTCTCATGCTTCATAAAGAGCAAAAAAGAAATCTTAGACGCTTCAGTTAGAAAAATAAGGCGGTGGTCTAAAGAGATAGCTCTGGGAAGAGTGTTTGAATTTTCAGGGTCATCATGTTCATTGTGTTCAATAACAATGAAATGATTGAGCGGAATAAGTTCCCACAGGCAAGGCTTTGGTTTAAGTATCAGATCTGGGGCCAGGGCACTAGCTCAGACACCATGCCGATTTAAAAATTACACTTACTGCTGGATTGTTCCCCAAAATATTTTTGATCAACTCTACAATTTCAAAACAACTATAGATGTGAGTCCTGGATATAGCACAGTCTCAAGGTTTCAAAAATAACACAATCATTAAAGAATCAAGACGTTTTAGAGATGATCTTAAGGTATTATAAACTTTTGTTCTTAGAAAAATAAAGCAAGCCCTGCCAACAGCAGTAACATTAGGTCAGCAGGTTCCCATCTGAAGTGCCTACAAAACGCAGGAGAAAGAACGCAGAAGAAATAAAACTATCTGTAAGCAATCATGATACAGAATAGAATTTCGTAGTGCTTTCATAGACTCAGCAGTTTAGTGCTTAAAAGGGTGAACTAGAATAAACCCATAATTTCTTATGGAAGATAATAATTATAATTAACATCTATAATAGTATTTTGTGATAAAAAGTATTTTGCTGTATATCATGCCATTTATTTCTTACAACAAATGTCTGGAGTCAGGAATATCATTAGTTCTACTTGCAGTAAAACAAACAAAAGGCCACAGACACGGTTCACTTTCGATTATGGGAACATTGGAAGAAATTAAGCATAAATGTGGGTGCTTCACTGAGCCCCGCTGGTTGCCCCTGACAGAGCTGGGCATAACTCTAACTATAGAATACTCAGCTGGACCAGAGGGAACCCCCTTGCCATCCTCTCCTCAGTAGGCTATCTGCCTGTCCAGTCTATCATGTGTGATCCATACAACACATTTGCCCAAGGCCGGGGTAGCAGGCGGCACCTCCAGCCCTCCCATGGATGAGGTCCACACTGCTTCCTAGATGCATCTGGCATTGCTTGTGCTTTTCAAATGAAGCTCTGAACACACAAGGAGATATTTGCTTATGTTGTAGACTTGACTTAATGGAATACAAACTCCTTGTAGAAATTTTGAGCAGTTTTATGCTTTCTAGGAGGTGGAACCTTAAAACTTAAAATTACCTTTGATGCCCATTGTCCTTTTGCTCTAGGAAAAGACTCTTGAGTAGACTCCTCAGCAAAGTAAATGGAACTCTCAGGGGAAGGTCTGGATGTGATGAATTAGAAGTCAGCAGATGCGTGTTGCATTTTATGCCTCTTGCGAAAACAGTCAAGTTTCAAAGTTTGAACTAAATTGTACAAACTAACTGGTTTGTTGCGGTAACCATGTTCTATTGCTGGTGTTACTAGTTTCGGCTTCTTTCTTGAGCACTTGTTTGCAGGAAAAGCAGAATTATGCTGAAGACATGAGCTGAACATCCGGGCTGTGATAACACAGAGATTGGAAAGGAGTCAGGCAGAGATCTGTGTGGTTCATTGTGGATGGGAGAGTTGCTCTCTCACATAGACTGTTGCTTAAAATTGAATCTGGGCTTTGCTAGATCTAATGAAATGGAGCTATTGTGGAATTTTCTTGGAGACTTGCATCTGGGTCACACCTGTGGAAAGGGTCGATTGTTTCCTGAAGGAATGAATATTTATAGAGTCAGTCATCCTGGAGATGGTCCTAGGCAAATGAGGAAGCTGGCCTTAGAATGCACCAGGGAATACGATGTTCTCCTCTCTCTGTGCTCATTTCAGCCATGCTC